AAGCAAAAGAGTGTATATATTCACACTTTTATATATATAATATTATCAGTAGTCATCTATATGCATATAAAATATATAATTATTTCCATGTGAATCTGTGTGTCCCTTTGAAGGTTAGCACCTTGACCTAAAGATCCCCTGGCACCAGCTAGATACCCTGCCTGTCTAACCTGTGAGTTAGATAGCTTAGGCTTCCCTTTTGCTGGAGATAATTCTCTGCTGATCTCTTCTGTAGTTCTGTCCCCCTTGGGTGCAGAGGCACTCTCTTTTGGATGTCTATGTAATGAAGATAGAGACATAGTCTCATTCCAGAACAAAGGACAGATTTGTTTACTATCAAGTGAATAATATCTCCCCCTGTGGCAAAGGTCGTGCAGCTTAGCTTGCAGCTCATTATGTAAGATCCAGGTTTCCTAAGCTCAGTGTTCCTTGGCTGGGATGCAAACCCTGTGTTTGCAGCATCTGCTGAGCTGCTCTACTTTGTTTTATCTCACTCAGGGTCTGGGGGGCCAATACAAACATACACTCATCCGGTTTACTGTGCTGTGAGGAGCGCAGTCCTTTGTCTCATCAAAAAGCCCAGAAAGCGTGGGTTCTGTCAGCCTCTGTGAAACTGGCATCTTTCACTAGGGTAAAATCCCAGACTCCATATTTGGAAAACTTTCTCTAAATGTAGGCTTAGCGCTGCCAGTATTCTGCTCTTTCCCAGCTAACTTTAGGTCCTTTTGAGTTATCAATGTTGCAGAATAAATTTTAAAGAGGGATAAAATATAACTAAAAATGTATCAAAGTTTTACTTAACTCATGAAGAAGGAACCAGTCAGACATCACAACTCTTTCAAAAAGAGGTTAAGGACAAATTTATAGGGAGTAAAGGATACAAAACTGACTTTTTCCATGGGAAGAGACCCAGGGAGGGGGAAATCTACTGAACAGAGTTTCTATTCCTGTAAGAACTATTTGCATGGCTGTCAGCTTTCCACAGCGTAGAGTTGTAAAACGACTTCGAGACAAGAAAAGGCACAAAAGCTATAGAAATCGATAACCTAGAAAGATTTACTGTAAACAACATGTAGTTTTCCTATTATATATGATAGTCTTGTTTCCAAAATTTAGCTTTTCCTTACACCAAAAAAAGTACTACAAGGATCTTTCCAAGGTTGTTGATCAAATATGGGAAAATTCAAAGGAGGCAGAATGAGATTTTTAAAAACAACCCTGGACACGTAAAAATAAAAAAGATATTGGCAGTTTCTAATCATCTGACTTGGGAATGCGATCTGACTCAGAATATTTGCTTACACTCGGTTGAGAAAGTTCTAGGTGAGGACATTGATTCAGCCTATTCCTTTTACTGACCACTAGGTGTCGCTAGGCAGGTGTGAGGGGCTCTGGCAGGTTGGTGAGGGGCGGCAGTGTTCACATATATAACTCATCCATGATTCAGTTGATTCATACATTTGGGAAATTTCGTGGTAGCAAGGCCGTTTTACTCCTGTACTTATACCATAGTAACCACCCTTCAGGAAGCAAGGATTGCTTTTACTCTGGCACCAACAACAAACCAAAAACACATGACATAAAGGTTTTTTAAAGCCTGATCATCCTAGGACAAAGGGAGAAAACATTCCAAATTAGAAATCAGTTGGTCAGTTCAATAACAAGAGATGATGTGCACCAGGTGTGGTGGCGCACACCTGTGATCCCAGCACTTGGGAGGCTGAGGCAGGAAGATTGCTTCTAGTTTGAGGTCAGCCTGGGCTACATAGTGAGTTAAAGACCAACCTGAGCTACACGGCAAGACCCTGTCTCAAAACAACAACAACAGCAGCAACACCAAGCCCCCCAACCAAAAAGAGATGATAAACTTAGCTATGAAATGGTGCTATGGTAGAGCTACGAACAGTGGTTCCCACTGCTTGTGTAGCAGAGCAAAATACATGCTTGAGCCCAAACACGTCAACTCACCCTTCATTTCTGTTTTGCTCAGGTGCCACTGACCTCTGCACTCCCGATAGTTTTTAACTCTTTCTAATTGATTTCAGTGCAATGAGAAATGGATGCGAAGCCATCAATAATTTTCTATCATCTGTGTCAGTGTAAAATGAAAGAGCAGTGGTGAGTGCTGGCTGGAAAACAGCTAGAAGGAGGACAGTGTACCAGTGGGCACGCAGAGAAACTCAGGAACAGAATCTCTTCCTTCCCCTCACTTCCCTGGCTCCTCAGCTGGCTGGCGAACTTTCACTCTGCTGCTTCTGCTACTTTTTTTTTTTTTTCTCCGGTACTGGGAACAGAACTCATGACCTTGCACTTGCCAGGCAGGCGCTGTGCCGCTGAACTAAATCCCCAGCTCGCTGCTTCTGCTACTGACAGCATCTGGACATTACTCTGGGGGCAGCCCCTCCCCGTCGAGCCCGGCAGTTCCCTTGCTGCGCCTGCAGATACCTGAGAGGCCTAACCGGGCCTCTGGGTTTGAAAGCGGCCACGGGGCCTGAAAACCACAGGAATCTTTTCATCATGGTGCCTCTAAGAGATAGTCTCTTAGTTCTTGCTTTCTGGAACCCCGCAGCTGCCCTGGTTCCTGTCCTTCCAGAGACCTCAGCAGTCCTTTTTCCTAGAAGTCCACCAACCACCCTGTTTTCTCCTGGAAAATCCCTGTTTGCCTGTATTAGCTGAAGTTGGTTTCTGCTGATTGCATCATTCTGCTGATCTCATCGTTTAGAGGATATCAAGTGGTTTAATGAGGAAAAGGAACTAATCAGAAGCCCAGTCCTGTCACTGATTCCACAGTCTCCATGGAAAGAGGAGAATTAGCCCAAGGATAATGGAAATGTGCCTTGAAAATGAAGAATAACCAACATTTATAGACATTTACTGTGCTCCGGACACAGTTCTAAACTTGTGTTTTCTTTGCTAATCTTCAGAATGACCCCTTTGAATAGGTGCTGTTATCTCCATTTAACAGATGAGAAAACTGAGGCACAGAGTGATTAAATAATGCCCACTTCACATGGTCTGATTAATAGTTCTTAAAAGTTTATTTCCGGGTGTGCTGCACACCCCTGAAATCCCAGCAGTTGGGAGGCTGAGGCAGGAAGACTGCCATAAGTTTGAGGCCAACCTGTGCTACATAATGAGTTCAAGGGAAGCCTGAATTATACAGAGAGACCCTGTCTCAAAACATAAAAAAAACCCCGAAAGTTTATGATATGTAGCTCAGTGCCAAGGCCTTGGGTTCAATCCCCAGTGTCAAATACACAGAAAAAGTTTGTCCTATAGAATATCGAATTTTTAAACATTGTACTAGTTATCTAGGGTCTGCTAAAAAAAAACACTACAAACTGGGCAGCTTAGAAATAACAGAAATTTATTATCTCACTGTTCTGGCAGCTCTAAGTGAGAATCCTTCTGGTGTCTGGCATTTCTTGGGTTGTAAATTCATCATGACCATCCTGTGTCTGTCGTTATGTGGTGGCTTTCTCTCTGAGGGCGTCTCTATTTTTCTTATGAGGAGAGGAGTCATGTGGGCTAAGGCCTCCCTGCTCTAGTTTGACTTCATTTTCACTTAACTACTTACATCTACTTACCTTATTTCCAAATACGTCATATTCTGAGGTACTGGGTGTTAGGACTTTTTTTGGGGAAGATATAATTCAATTCAGCAACAAAAATGTTACTAGAATTTGTTCAGTTACTGTTATTTTTTGGTGTTCATGGGGATTGGAACCCAGTACTTATCTACTCGCCTCCCCCCCCCCCAGGCTCTCATTAAATTGCCCAGGCTGGGCTAAAACATTTTCATCCTCCTGCCTCAGCCTCCCAGAGTGCTGGGATTACAGAGATGCACCACTGTGCCCAGCTAGAATTTGTTCCCCAAGGATATCCATGTTCAGAGAACTTTGGGAAGCACTATTACAGGAGTCTTGCTGCAGTACTAGGGCTTTGTTACTCTGTGAGGGGAGGTGCCAAGCTGGGACTGTATGAAACAGTTTCTCAAACATGTTTGATTGCAGACTCCTTTTTACAGCTCTGCGGTGGACGGGCATTCAGTGTGAGACACTGTGCCCATGCCCGGTGGGAGGCGGTGGCACCCTGTTCCTCCCTGCTGTTCATGCGTCACCTCTCACCTGCTGTGTTGCCTTGAGACAGCTGTTCTTCTCTGACACCACATGTCCTTATCTCTAAGCTGGGGACAGCCATACACTTTTCTCTATAGGTTTCTTGTGAGGACTAAATTAAACAAGGTAAACTGAACGATACATAGTACAGCACAGGACACAAAAGTACATGTTTACTTAAAAGTACGTACTTTGCTATGCTACCCAGATGGTTTTAAATTGCTTGGCAAGTCTTACCAAGCATTTTTAGGATCTCAAGAATAATTTCTAAGCAGGACAATTACCAGTAAGATTTTCTTATTCATTTTCCTCTTCATCTTTTTTTTTTCTTCTCTTGAGAAGAACTGTTTTCTTCATGGTAATAAAACTTTGAGTCTGGTGTGGTGGTGCACATCTGTACTTTCAGCTACTTGGGAGGCCGAGGCAGAAGGAGAATAAGTCTGAGCTCAGTCTGGATAACTTGGCAAGATCCTGTCTCAAAATTAAATATTAAAAAAAACGGCTAGGAACTAGGTGTAGTGGTGCTCGCCTGTAACCCCAGCACTATGGGAGGCTGAGGCAGAGGGATCATAAGTTCAAGTCCAGCTTGGCTAACTTAGTGACTTAGCAAGACCCTGTCTCAAATTAAAAACAAACAAACAAACAAGATCTGGATGTAGCTCCGTGCGAAGTTCTGGCTTCAATCCCCAGTACAGGAAAAAAATTACCTTGATTAAATATTGAACAGAACTGTACTTTTAATATCTCCAAAATTAGGAAAGCATGGGCTGTTCGGCTATCCAGTTCCGTATTCTGATCTTCCACCCCAGTGAGGGGAAGAGGATGTGAGCACGAGATCACCAACCGGCAGAAGGGAAATTGTGAAAGAGACCTCGCTCTAAAAAGGGCAGCCCACAACCTCCTCAGCTGTCAGAGCAGCGTGAACGGAGGGCACTCGCCTGAGAGTGGGTCCGTCTCTCAGTCCTTCCCTCAACATGGAGCCAAAGCAGATCAGGGAGGGGTACCTCGTGAAGAAGGTGAGTAGAAGAGCCACTTTCCCGGGTGGGCAGGCAAGCAGAGGACGGACGGCCAGCTTTTCACTCTAGCCTTTGTTTTCTTTCTTTGTAATTAAGTTTACTGGTGTATTTTAGGTATACACAATGATCACTTGCATCATCGGGGATTTGCACCTGTACGTGATGTTCCTTGATTTCTCTTTTTTCCCCAGTTCCCTCTCCTCCCTTGAACCCATCTTCCCCTTCCTATTTACAAGGCTTTGTTTCCATTTTATCCTTTTTTAAAATCTTTTTTTTTTTTCTTTTCGCTTCCTTCCTTTCCCCCTTCCTCCACCCTACTTCTTCCTTCTGAACAATTTCTTCCCATTTTACAATATCTATTGTACATTTTGGTCCTTATTTACTCTTTCAGTTTCTCACATCAGGGAGCAGTGCAGTGTTTATATGTGAGTCCAATTTATTTCACTTAAGAGTGTGGTTTTGGGCTGAGGGTATAGTGGCATGAGCGCCTGCCTCGCAAGCGCAAGGTCATAAGTTCGATCCCCAATACCGCAAAAAGAAAAAAAAAAGTGTATGGTTTCAAGTCACATCCATTTACCCAGAAATGCCTCAAATTTTTCCTTCGTTAGCACAGAGTAGTACTCCATTATGTACTAAACTTTTTTTCTATTACCATAATACATTTTTTTTCCCTTTGGTACTGGGAATTGAACTCAGGACCTTGTGCTTGCCAGGCAGGTGCTGTGCTGCTGAGCTATATCCCCAGCCCCCCAAAACATTTTCTTTATCCATTCCTTGGTTGATGGATATTTGGGCTGTTTCCATGATTTAACTATTACAAACTGCTGTTACAAACATGGGTGTGCTTTTATCTCTGTGGTGTGATACTTTCAGTTCTTCCAGGAAGATACCCAGAAGGGGACTAGCTGGGTCAAATGGGACCTCTAGTCCTAGTTTTCTGAGGAATCTCCATAGTGAAATCTACCCCTTTCATTTGGGAATGTTTGGTGCAGGACCTCTTGGGCTGAAATGGGAGACTGTTGTAGAGTGGAACGTTGGGGCAGGCAGTGATCAGCATGTACTCCACTGCCTTCTGTTTCTTAAAAGTGGATTAATCCACTTGGCACAGTTTTATCGAATGGGTCAAAGAATTCTAGACTGCATAGTCTGGAAGGTAGGATCCCTGGTTAATTCCCTCATAATTTAGAACATCAGTTTTAAGAACCACATGTGTGTTCTGCCAAAAAAAACTCAAGTGCTTCAGCTGCAGAAGTTACTTAGAGAAACTGTTCATTTGTTATTAAAATTTCCATCCCTCGGGGGTTTTCTGGGGGGTGGGGAGAGAAGAAAGTGATTAACGTTGAGCTGATCTACTGCTACCGTAATTATAGCTTATTCGTTGGGCTATCTTCTTAGAATTGATGCACAGAAAATTCTTCCTTTTTAAAAAAAATGGGCTGCAGTCTCTTCACTCACGACCCTTAGTGAATTTGTATAACAGGCTGTCAAGTGGGTAGATGCACTATTTTAAAGATTTGAAAATAGATACCCCGGGTTACTAAAAAATGCTCAGTCTTACTGATGTGACATCAGGAAAACTGAATGTGGTGAAGGTTGTTGGTCTTTCTTCTCATGCTGGGTGTGTCCTGAGTTGTGAAACTGCCCAGCCCGATGGATTCACACGTAGGACTTGTTGGTATCCTGTGGGCAGCACCTCTGTACACAGCAGGCTCACACTACACCACAGTGTTTCAGAGATGAACTGTACATTCCTTCTGCTGCCTAGGTTTTAACTGAATGATCATCTAATTAACTCTGCTCTAGGGCATTCATTTGTTTCACATTCTAGCCTAAAATGTTCTCCTTTTAAGAGAATTAAACAGCGCCTGTTGTAGTCTACCTCTGTTTTTATTTCAGACTGGAAGGGATCTTTGACCGTTTGTCCTAACTCCCTCATCTGAGACCTTGGATCTCAGAGCTGCCTGAGAACCAAGGTCACATGGCTGTGACAGAGCTGGGACCAAAGGGACACTTTCTGATCCTGGGTTTCTGATTCATGGCACCGAGCTCTGTTCATACCCAGGATTTTCCTACAGAAAATTTACTCTGAGGTGGTATTTGCAGTATGTTTGCGATGGTGCAGTTATGTTCCTTCAGCTGGTGTTCTGTCTGATCAGTTGTAGTTTGAAATGTCCTTTGGAAAAGACACATATGCACACACTGAGGTGTATGCAGATTTCTTGCAATAGAAAGAAATACCCACTAAGAGAACCAATAGTGGTTCATGTTGACTGATTTCAGGCTAGTATCTGAGAAAAACCAGTGAGTGGAAATATTTTCTGCTAAGTTTTGCTTATTTTTGTTTTTTCAGACAACTAAAAACACTTTGCAGTAAAATTGCTGTTGTAAAGTTGTATGCTCATCTTATAAATTCCCTCAATTACAAAAATATACAAATATATATTCCTATATTAAATATATAATAAGCGATGGTGTTTCACCAGAAAATAGAAATGATAGAGCGTTGTCCAGCATGTAGATTTAAATTAATAAAAACCTTTTAGTGAGAGTAATTCTTTCTGATTATGCCGCATGAATGCCAATCTAGAAGAAGTGCCTAGAAGAAAACATAGTAAAATTTCATATTGAAATTTCCACAAATTGTGTCTAAGTTTTATGTTTATAATATATATCCTCCATATTATTTGCATTTTTGTCTGAGACCACTTGAAATTCTCTGTTGCAATGAGATTCTTGATTTTGATATTTTGTTTTTGTTTAAATGATTTTTTTTCACTACTGTGGGTCAAACTCAGGGCCTTGCATATGGTAGCCGAGCCCTGTGCCACGGGGCTACACCCCTGGTCCTCTAATGTGGCATTTTAAATAAACGTTTGTTTCAGAAGTATTCCCTTTCCTAGTCTTGGAGCTAAAAATCTTTGAGCTCCTACTGTAAGCTAGCCACTGTGCTAAGCCCTTACATATGTATAATTTCCTTTAATTTTTGTAATGGGAAGTAGTGGGTACTTTATCTTCATTTTGCAGATGAGGACACAAATGTTTAAAAAAATCTAGTAATTTGCCTAAATGATTTGTCACAGTAGAACCTAGAAGAGGCAAAGCTGAGATGTGAACTGAAAACTAAGACTCCAGAAATCATTCTAGCACAGTGTGTGATTTCTGTCTTGGTTATTTAATGTGTTTTATTGAAAAATTATCCAACCTGAAAGAGTTTATGTATGTAAAATTTTTCTACTAAGTAGACTAATGTCCCTGCTTTCAAAGAGGCACAAGACAACCATTTGTTGAGGATATTATGCAAGTAGGAAAGTACCCGATATGATTAACAGTGCCGCAGAAGGTAGGGCTTAATCTAAGCAGTATCAATTTAGAATGAATGTCCCACGACTATGGGGAAATAGGTAATAATAACTCCCAGTTCTGCTTTAGTTACAGAGTTTTGTTCATAATGTAATTTTCCTTTTAATTCCAGCCATACATCAGCCTATGAAAAGAGAAGTTCCTGGGAAAGGGGAAGTCAAAAGAAGTGTCTTCACTCTTTGGGAGGGGTGATAGCACAAAACCCTAGGTGCCCCAATTCTCGGCCATCAGCTGTGGCTTCTCTCAGCAAAGCTGAATGTGCACAGGAAAGCATCTTTAATTTGGGCATTTGTCACACGGAGTTGGACAAATCTCATCAGTTAGATTATGAATGATGAGAGCAGAAACTGGATCTCATTCATGTTTTATGCTCCCATTATCTGGGTCATATCTGAAGCCTAGAAGCTGTTCTAACAATCATTTATTATAGCAAAGTTTTAAGAATTAGAAAACGAGGATTATTTCAGATAGGGTATGCTTTTTAAATGATCATGTAAAATAGGCTTCTAAGATTTATTATCATTGTCTTGTGGCTTGAAGGTGAGGCCCAAAGACTGGCAGGAAATATAAAACCGAAGGGACATGGAGTTTCTTAAGTTTCTCCGAGGCCGATGCATAAAATCTCAGGGTAGATGGATGTGATGTGTTTAATCAAACTTCTCATCTGCGGCTCCCAACCCTACACTAGGGATTAAACTCAGGGCCTTCACACGGACATTCCCATCCCTTTTTATATGCTTTTTAAAATTTTGAGACGGAATGCTATATTGCTCAACTGGGCTCAAAGTCTGCACTGTTTGAATTAATGTATTACCAAGTATTCTTAAATATTTCTCTTGTCAGGGAACTCATTATTTTTCTCTGAGTTATGCCGAAAACTGTTTTCCAAAAACCTCTACCTAGTGGGCTTTGGAACAACTAGGCATTTCACACCTTTGCAGACAATTCTGGTCTGCTCTCTGTCCCTTTTTGGGCTAAACCCAGCCAATTCTTTCAATAGTTCCAGCAGAGATGGCGCCATCTTGACACTCTCTTTGTAGCTCCAGGTTAGCTGCAGCTTTGAGGGTCCCTGGACTCAGTGTCATTCTCTGGGGCATCTGAGTTAGGCAGACTTACAGGAAATCAGTAGTATTTAAAGAGTGCTTACAAAGTGCTACCTCTTGATTTCAGCAAATTTACACGGATTGTTTTATTTAATTTCCCCACAACCTTAAAATATAATTAGTAATATCCCTGTTTGTCAAATGTTAGAAAATGAGGTTTAAAATCTTGTTCCAGTTACATTGCTACAAAGTGTCAGGGTTGGGATTTGAGATTGAACCATTCTGTTCCAACGCTCTTGGTTGCCTCTGGCTATACACTATTTAAAGTTAGAATGCCACCTGCCTCGCTTTAGATCCTGTACTATCCATACAACCCACAATGCACAGGGCTTTTTTTTTTTTAATTCATTTTTTTAATTTTAAAGAGAAAAAAGCAATAAAAGCAATGATGCAGAATTTTAAAACAAGATAATAGGAAATTAACAATTGTTATTATATTGTATGTTATCTTCAAAATAGTTACTCAGATTACAAGATATAGGCATGCAAAATGGATCAAACAATACAAGCACAAACCGTTCCTTTTTTTTTTGACAG